AACCCTCAGCCCTGAGCCCTCAACCCGGGTCCTGAGGATGTGATGCGCTTCTTCGCCCGCTTGCGAAACTGGGAGTTTCGGCAGCTGTGGGGCTGCCAAGAAGGGGAGGGTTCTGAGTTCAGGGCTTATAGGGTTTAGGGTTTAGGGTTTAGGGTTTAGGGGTTTAGGGTTTAGGGTTTATGAGTTTAGGGTTTAGAGTCCTGTAGAGTGCCTTTAAGGAGTCATTCAAAGCTTCCCTGAAAAGGGCTCTAAGTTTAGGGTTTTCTTGATGGAAGGTTCTGGGTTTAGGGTTTAGGGGTGTGTGCTTTTTTGAGAGAAGGCTTTGGATTCCGGGTGCAGAGGTTAGGTTTAGGGCACAACGTGTAGGCTTTTCAGGGTTTAGGGTTTCGGATTCAAAATGTAGGGTGTTGTTTTAAAGGGAAGGGTTTTGGGTTTTAGGGTTAGGATGGTCTGTGGTTCTCGGTTTAGGGCTGGACAACGAGGCCTGTTGCAAAAAGGGTTTAGGATGTCTTGTGGTTCTGGGTTTGAGGTCTAGGACGACTTGCAGGAGGATTTGTGGGGTTTGAGGATTAGGATGGGTTCAAGGGAAGGTTTGTCAAGGGAAGGCTCTGGATTCCGTGTTCAGTTTGAAGGGTTCAATGCGTAGGGTTAAGGTTTTTGGTTTGGGATCTAGGGTGTAGCGTTTGGGATTCAAGATTTACGGTTGATGGCGAGGGTTTAGGGATGAGGTGTCACGGTCAGTGATTGATTTTGGGATCGGTTTGGCATGCACATGCTGTTCCTTCACGGGGCAATGTAATCTACTGCAGAATAATTTACTCCTATGCTCATCTGCACTGTGTTTGAGGAACCCTTGCAACAACTTTCGACCTTGGAGTGTGTGGTCTGGGGTGGATGTCGGGTTTGGTGTAGGGCTCAAGGTTTGGGATTGGGAGTTCAGGAACCTTGAGTTCAAGTTTTACACCACACCCGAACCTGCCCACCCCCACTACCAGCAAGGGTAGGTGTATGTATGGGGCTTACCAGCTCACGAAGTCTCCTCCGATGATCAAATCAAAGTTTCCATGGAGCCCAGCCCAGCACTCCTTTTCCTAGGAAAGACCCCCGAACATGATTAGCCCAAAACCCCAAGACCCTAAACCCTAAAACCCAAAACCCAAAACCCTAAACCCCTAAACCCTAAATTCTAAACCCTCAATAGATGATGTAGAGATGTATAGATGTATAGATGTATAGATATGTAGATGGGGTGACATGCTTAAGGCTCTAATCTAAGGGTTCAGAGGTTCAATAAGCTCAGGTCTTCCTAAATAACTCGAGCAGCCTCAAACCTAAACCCAAGAACTCTGAGCCCTCGACGATTTAGGGTTTAGGGTTATTTTGGGTTGAGGCTACCGTCGAGGTCCTTCGAGTTGCCACAGCTGAACCCTGAACCCTAAGCCCTAACCCTAAACTCTAAACCCTAAACCCTAAACCCTAAACCCCTAACCCCTAAACCCTAAACCCTTAATGGCCGTAGCCCTGAACCCCAAACCCTTTAGTTCCAAAGCTAAGGGGTCAGGGCTTGTGCAGCTTCCAGAGCCGTGGGCTCTGCAACAGAGGCAGCTGTCTAACTTGACCTAAGATACCCCAAACTCCCAAACCTACAAAACTGCATCCGAAACCCCAACCCCTAACAGAAAACCCTAAACCCTAAACTCTAAACCCTAAACCCTAACCCCGAACCTAAAACCCTAAACCCTAAGCATCAAAGCCGTTGGCCCGAGAGAGCCTCAAGCAAGAGCGGCACAGCATCTGACATCCCCCAAACCCCTTCATAGACTTTATACAGCCCTTGTTAGCACGGTCTTCTTGCTCTTCCGGTCTTTATTCTTGCAACGTTTTATTGATACTATTTCTTGTTCTCATTTTGAGATGATTACTTCATGATTCTTCTTCATCTTCTTCTTATTGTACCCTAAACCCTAAACC